GTGTATGTCTGCAAAATCGCTACCCCTCTATGCGCGGTGTCTTTCATCCACAACGGAGAGTGAACTTGAAACAGAACATGTCTCCCATGCTGGTAAGTCCAAAACCCATCATGAAACTGTGCGTACGATGCATCATCTATAGTGGATTGAGAGTAGATGGCAAAATCCCCGCAAAGGTGGTTCACATGCAACACCATCTCGCAGGGAGAGGGTGTCCATTACTAGCCCGCATTTTCGAGGTGATTCGGGGTGTCCATCAACCAACTGGGGGTCCAGGTTGTGGATTGTGCCATCTACCCTAGGGTTCCGAGTGCCTCCTCAGGTGTTTGGACCCTCTATACCCACCCCAGTCCCACCTTCGAAACGAAGGTACGACTGGAGCCCTAGGGGCTACTGTCTACTCCGAAACCACTGTCCAAGGATACTTAAAGTCACTGGGGCGGCATGGATCGTGACGGACCTGCCGCTCTGCGAGGCGTCGATCGGGACGGGAGAACGTGAGCCAACACAGAAAGGACACCTGCAGGTCACAAGCGAAACCTGCTCTCCTCTTGTTGAAAAGATCAGATCTGAAAGGAACTATGCTCATCTAAGCCGACTCTCCTCAGCTCATAGTGCCGAAACACAGTGCCTCCTAAGCCTTTTGTGGCCCCAGGCCGCCCAATACGAAAGACAGGTTGCCGCAATGCTCACCACCACCAAGGATCCATATGTATACACCTCAGCACAAACAATCGTTGACCGCAAAGTCAGGCAAGTGGCGGAAGCAAAACCGCTGAGATGCTTCGCTTGCCCACCCGCACGAACGCTGGATGCAACACCAACGCTGTGGTCCTTCCATTAAGGTGATCGCTGGTGGCAGAAACGGTCGTCTTCTGCAAAAGCTTTAGATAATTCCTCTCTCTCTCTAGGAGTCCAGAACCTAGTGCTCAGGACTAGAGTGCTGCCCTGCCAACTCAGAACTTGCCTTCAGAATCTGATTGAGTGTACAAGTCGTAAAAAAATCACTGTTGCAACATGCTCTGCAAACTATTTCAGGTCCTTGCCTACCCTGGCCTTTGCCAAGTCTTCCACACAAAGCAAACGACAGCAGGGACTGTCAATATCCCCGCAACATGCTGTTGCATCCCAGAAAACGAATAATTTCAAACCAACACCCATCCAGACTCTGGGCACCCAGAACAGCCTGACTAGGGCGACCCCCCAAAATACCAAGCTGGCTACCTGGTTGGTGGTTTCAGCTCACCTCAAAAAAAAAAGTATGAGTCAAAGGGTTCGCACAACATCGCACAACCATCCCAAGAAGCAGGTTGAAAATGGAAGTCTCTCAAGCCACCACCCAAACCAAGGCATCACCAAGGCATTGCTTAGAGGGGCCGTGTAGACCTCCGCATCTCGCTGATACTTGGTCAAGTGCTTCACATCCTGGACAGGCGAAAAGACTCAACCAGGTTCCTGTATAACACCAAATAGATAAGTAGATCACCCACACAACATGTATTGGACACCGTTTCTATCTATTTGAGGACCACTATACCCTCCATCAGAAAACAGAAGACGAGTAACACACTGTGGTTACCTCTGGGAGTTACCAGGCCTTTGGGTCTGGAAAGCACCGAGCAGCTCAGCAGCCCACCGTTTGCTCTCCGTTTCTGTTGACCCAGCAAACTCCACTGGAAGGGGGGTCCCTGAACCGCAGAAGGGTGCTGAGGTAAGTCCACAAGCAAGCAAAACAGAGGGGCCCCTCATATTATACACATGGCAAAAAACACACACACACACAAAAAAAAAACAAAAACGTTTTAACAAGCGCTCTTCATGAAAAATAGCCGAGCTCATTCGACACATGAGACATGGCTCGTGCCTTCAAGTAGGCCGAGAGGTGGGGTTCTGAAGGCTTGAAGCTCCAAAGGAAGATCAAAGCGACACCTGCGGCGCTTTCTCCAAACGACGCGGGTCCACGACGTGCGGAATCCGGACGACTTGACGGCGGACGACGAAGAGTTTTGTCCAGGATTTTCCAGGCAGACCTGCCCATCGGTGCCGTAAAGGATGTTTTGGAGGCACCACTCAAGTGGTGCAAATGTCCTAGTCAATTAGCAGGATCCCATTGAGGAACTGCTAGTGTGTGGACTAGACTCGACGGTATAGTAACAGGTCCAAAGAATCCGAGGAATGTTTGGAGCCATTTTCCAGGAATACACTGCGTGATGCACATCAATGTCAATGTCATAGAGATCATAAATCCTACCATGGAATTATATATAAATCAAAGGCTAGTTGGAATCCCAAAGAATCCGCCGACCCCACACCGTGGGGTGAGGCGTGACTGTCGATGTTAGCCTTAGCCTTAAGCCTTAGCCTTAGCCTTAGACCTTAGACCTAGTCCTTAGCCTTAGACCTTACCTCCCCTACCCCTCCGGACCCTTGTTGGAGTGACGAAATCCTGCCGGGAAAGCGACCTGGATTGTCCAAGAATCTGCCATCCCAATTGATTTACATCTTGGGGCACCCTCTCGACCCGCGCGGGAAAATAAGCACGGTCCAAAATGGTCCTGGGCTCGAATCCCGGGCTGGTCGCAGCATGGTCCCGGCCAATGCCCTTGCTTTTTCGTAGATTTTGTCACGTTTTCTGTTGGCTTATGAGATTTTCAAAGGCTTTTCTGGCATTTTCCTAGGAATGCTCTAGGCTTTGTCTTTTTGGGTACCTGCTTTGGTGGTGCTGGGTTGGGTCTAAATTGGTAAACCTGGGAGGTACCCAAAAAGTCGACTTTTTGGGTACCTGCTTTGGTGGTGAAGGGTTGGGTCTAAGTTCTTGGGCAATGATCGGGGTTCATGCAAGAGCTGACGTCCGATGGTAAATCTGGGAGGTACCCAAAAAGTCGACTTTTTGGGTACCTGCTTTGGTGGTGCTGGGTTGGGTCTGCACTCTTAAGGCTAAGGCTAAGGCTTAAGGCTAAGGCTAACATAGAGCAAGGCTAGCGCTAAGGTTCTATCCCTTGGGGGTCGGCGGCTGCAGGCGGTAGCCTGGTAAATACGATGCCGTAGGGTTGTGAAGAAAGCAATGGAGGTGGAGAGGGTGACAAGCTAGGCTGCTCCCCTAGCATGTCACTGCCAATGAGCACAGCATGGTTGACTCGGGTTCTGTAAAAAACCTTGCCAACCAAATCAGCATGTTCAGCTGGCATGTAAACCCTCTCGTGCACGGGGTGAAATGGGCGAAACGGTCCCAAAGCCAAGACACACTGCACATACTGCATCGAGACGGAGGGTGGGGACATGGCTGACTCGTCGGACGAGGACATTGGCGGGATGGCAGTGATTGAACATGAATTGGGGGGTCCATGATTCAATGACAAACCCCTTCGGTGGGGTTGGGTTCTTCAACTTGTCCGGGTTCAATCGGACAGTCTTCAAGAGCACATCCGTCATCATATGCCTGTCCCACCTGCTCATACAGCAACGCGCTCGCTCAAGATGAATGACTCATTACGGCTACCCCACCTGGCTACCTGGGTATCCTGTAACGATCATGTGGAAACTCTGCCGCAACCAATTCCCAACCTCCAATAGTACCAATGGCCGCTGGACAACCTACAGTACAATCCAACTTGCCAACTTGGATAGACTCAAGTAGAGTGAACTCTACTAAGTTCTCACTGATCGCAAGGCTCGATGCAGAAAACACAAACAGTTGGGGTGACTCTCCCATCACCCCCGGATCTGTTGAAAAAAAACATGTCTTCTGCTGCTCTGTGGGCGGCCGAGGCGTTCAAGTCTTCCGAACGCCCACGAGTGACGGACGGCCGAGATTGGATGAAAGATGATGAAGGCCTTTTTTTTTGGTTTGAGCAGAGTATAGGTTCATAACGCTAACTGAAGTGAACGAAGCCAAAGGATTTCAACAGCTCAAAACATCAAAAAAAAACAGGGCAAATTTAGCAGCATGTGGACAATGGGTGTCGGTTGGTGGCAGGGTCAAATCACTAGACGAGCACACGGGAAGACTTCTTGCTGATACCGCCGATAAGTACCTGTCTTCGGTAAAGATCCTATTGACCGTGATGGTGGGTGATGGTGGCTAAGCTAATGAGGACTCCTACAACTCTGATGGGCTGTTGCTGTGAATGGAATACACAGACATCGAAGGCATGCCATTTTGTTCGTTGGGCTCTTTTCCCCATCGAAGACATGTCCACCGGTCACTCTCTTGATAGACAGGAGTGAAGCACCAAACAGGAGTGAAGCACCAAACATATCGGTTTGGACTTCCACTGGCTCCATCTGGCTCCCCTGACTTGAAGCATGAAAAGACTGGCAAAGTCCAACATGGGAACCTATTTACAGTAGGTGAGTCAACAAATCACTGCATGACTAACATCAAGGCCCCCGCCTTGAATCCGCTTGAATGGCTTCGATCCTACACCACCCCAATTCGCCGACCAATATGCTCCAAAGATGGTCAAATCCCATGGGGCTGCCTATAAGAACAAAGACTCCATGTGCGGAATATATGTTACTATATACCATTAGGACCATTATATAAATATTACAATTGACCCATCAAACCACCCCTGATCAATAGAATTCGATGCATCATATATCAGTTTGATGGAGTGTCAGGGTAACTTTGAATTGCTTCAGGAACGGGAAATTTCATGTTTGACATCTTCCGCAGTTTCCAAGAGGCACTCAAAACCCAAGGTTTTTGAACAGTCTCAGAGAGCATAGGATCACATTGATGAGAGCGTAGCGTCTTTTTTACGCCCGGTGCCATGCTTTTCCCGAGTGGGCGGGCTGCTTAACAAAGGGTTTTTCCTCAAAACCTATTGGAGGTAAACATTACCGGCTGGTGGTTTCAAATCAACTTGAAGGACTCTGGTGGGATATGGTGGATCAATCTTGAACACTAAAGCATGTCTGAAATCGCATACCTGGTCCTTGAGTCATACTCTTTTGAGCCGAACGTCTTTCACGTCTGTTTGGCTGGGCTTTCGTGCCACGCGCTTGGCGGGGGGGCTTGACCGTGTCGCTGTTCTGGGCGTGTCGCGTAGGCGTCCGGTTGCGACATCTCTGGGCTTGTGTCCGCATGTTTGTGAGCTTGGCCAAGTACAATCCAAATCATTTTCATAGGGAGGTCTCCTCTCAATGGGTTTCGGAGTATTGCCCTTCTTCCAGAAGGTCGTTGGGGAGGTCTCCCTCTTGAAATACACACTCGTCCTCCGCACACCAAAGAACTGAATACCGTCCTCGCGTCATGCTCCGTCTCTCTCTGGCGAGGCTCCAGGACCCGAACCCGTCTAGACGCTACTCTTCCAGGCTAGAGAAGCCCTCGGCTTGCCGCCCACATAGCAAAGCCGACGGAAGCCCGGAGGAATCGGAACACTAGGAAGCAACCCCCCAAAGAATCTGTCTATTGTATTTTAAAACTATTTTATAGTTACTCTCTGGGTGCACCCACCCCAAACACATCCAAACACCAAGCTGAGACACCAATTATAGCCATCCCCCTCAGGCAGCCGCGTTCCCGCCCGCGCGGTAAGCCCACCCACCCACGCGGAAAACCCGGCATCGGACCGTCCTCGGAGGGAGGCCCAAAGCCCACTGGAAGTCCTGAGGGTGGCGCTAGTACTGTGGTCGTGGGCCAAGTGCCACTTAGAATGAGCCCACGATACATCTCAAGACTTCAGTGTACGCAGTGTATTCTTAAGATATCTTCTTGCAGGTGCAGGGTTTTCTGAACAGGTGAACCAGTTCAGTTCTAGGCTCTCTGTGGAAGTGTGGAAGGATAGAGGACTTTATGGATCAACAACTTGGCGATGTCCCACAAAAGGTCACAGACTTTCGTCACCTGGTATGTTCTCTCGATCCTCTTTTCCCGACACCAATTCTCCCAAAAAAAACATTCCAATCCCATAGTACCTCCTGAACATGGTCTTCGAGGTGAGTTCGTACTTGCAGAGAATGACAGCAAGACATCCCAGCAACGGATGGTCCTGGACCCTTAGGGTCCCAAACCTCTCGGACCAGCATCGCCCCACCTGTCCCGGTCCACTCGCTAGGACTACCCATGGACCTCCAAAGCCAGGCCATCCAGGGAAGCCTCGTGAGCGCGCCGGTGGCGTCAAGAAGGCCGGCCATGGTTCCATTCATTGAGCGAAGTCCGTGGTGAAACCTCTGAGACGGTCCAGCTGTGTCTTTCAACAACGACATGAAGAAATTGCACTCATGAACAACTTGAAGTCCTGGAACAGCTTTTGGCTTCTTCATTGTTGAAGTCGAAAAAGCACTGGCATCCGACCTGTCATTCAAGATCAATTACGGTCACTTGTGCACAAGAGGAACCATGGTTCCTGCTTGTGAGGAAACAGTATAACCTTTGAATGATCCACACCCACACATCCTCGCGGTCGGACTGAGGCGTGCCTTGCATTGGCATTCCAGTGTTGGGGTCCTGGCAGTTCTGGAGGTGAGAGTAAGGATCAGTGAGAGCACTTTGACGGAAAACTCAAGCATCGTAAGATGGATCAGAAGCAACACCTGTGCCCATCTGTACCAGCAATATCTGCAATAAGGGCTAGCCTTGCTGTGGGGGGGCTGGCAACAACCTCGGCTTCCCACAGGGGAATCGGCACTCATTAGCGGGCGCTGCTGTTGGAACCTCCTATGAAAAGAAGAAGCCTGGGTGGCACCCCTCCTCAAAACGCACGGTCCGGCTCCCAAGTACTAGTAGCAAAGATGGTCTTCTCAGTACTGAAAGAGTGATATAAATCACTTGAATTTTCTGATTCGGAACTGGGAAAACCAAATCTTCTCCAGTTTCGGGGATTCAACCCCACGGGAACAATCATGACTCTTTTGATCGTGCAACTGCTGAATCCATGCTCCGCGACGTTCGGCGTTCGCGATCGGCATGGAATAACCCATGCGTGGTCACCGGTGTTGAGGAAGAACGGCGTAATTAGCCAACCAAACATAAACCAAACCACTGAAACTGAGCACAATGATGGTGATATGGACTCGCATCAATGGGATAGTCGTCCAAGCTTCCATCATCTTCCATCAACAGCTGGTGCTGTACAGTGGTCCACCCTGCCACCTCATGCGAAGACGCACATGGAGGGCTGTATAGCGTGGCGGTTCAGGCAGCGAAAAAATTACATCCCTCCATCCAAACGAGCCCAAAGGTCTTCAGCCCGGGCGGTCTGATGAAAAGGGTGCGCTTTACAAGTGTTCTGCCTGGTGGCCTAAGGCAGGTGGACGGCATGCCACACGCATGTGCGATGGGAACCCCTGGGACAAACCAATAAACCACGCCTTAAGCCATACCAAGCCTATAGGGTTCCCATCAAAATGCGCGGCCACACTCAATGTCAGAGATGGTCATCCTCAGTGATGCGAGGGTTGGCAAGGATTGTCACTGCCCACGGCGTACCGTGTCTGACCAGCAGGCGGCAAAAAGCCCCGTGATCAAGTTGTTGAAGCGGCCCATTTTGAAAGGTCGTCTCCAATTCGATCATAAAACATCGTTCATCGATTCAATTTGTCCCATGAAGCCTCTCATCATACATCAAGTTTCTCAGTCGATCCTGTTGCTTCTGCCAACTCATGACCAATGGGTGGGATCCTGTGAAATATTCAAACAGCGAGCTTCAAAAACCAAACCTTCAGGTACCATAAAGGCCGCGAGTTCCTGTACACTGTGACTTTAATGATCCTCTCAGCCTCCCAAACGGTTAGAGACATCCTAGAGATCCAGCCAGCCTACGAACCATGTGCTTCTTTGCCTTGCTCGGAAGCATCTGGAGACATGCAAATCTCTGTGATGTGTATATTGTCATCGTGTTTGGAAATTTGGTTTCTGCATATCTTTCGCAGGATCTCCCATATCCTTCAATCATGAAGGCCTGGGCCGTGAAACAAAATTGATGCATGCAGAATGTCATGGTTGGACAAATGATGCTAAACATCCTTCATAAACCTAATTATATATAATTAAAGCCTAAGCGATAATGCAGAGTTGATCTGTGTCAAACGCCTGGAAATTCGTGCTTGGTTTAAGGATGCAACATGGACAATGGAGAAAGAAAAACAACACACATCCATGTCCGACTTGGCCCAGGCTCGGCCCAGCTGATCGGCATCGTTTCATCTCCACGCTGGCCGCGTCTGACACGGCGACACGGTGAAGCCCGTTGGTTCGAGCAAGTCCGGTTCGGTCCAGCCATAGAAGTCTGGTGCGTCCTTGTATTTTTACGTTCATGACTGGACAGCAATTCAGTTGACCGGAACTGTAGTGCCCAAGCCAAGCTGGTGACCTTCTACAAGGGCCATAGCCCCCATGGGCTATGGATGCAAGAGCTGTAACTATATCCCTACGAACCTAAGCAGTTCCCCTCAATGCACAACGAGAAAAGCAACACAGTTCCCCGAACCCACCTTGACACAGAATCTAACACGGTATCACTCCAGGCAATTCTGTAGGCATGGATGATAGGCATATACTGTAATTAGATGTAATTAGATCGTTGTCAGTATATATGACAACATGATTCATATTTAGATTTGGATGGCTTTGTGGGCGACCTCGGGTCGTCTATACTCTAAGAGTCCTATAGAACACGCTAAGCCATGGAGAGCCCTTCGGTGCTCGCTCCGAACCTCGCGTCGCTCCGACCAGGTCCGGTGGCCTTCGTCCAGCTCCCAAAAGGTGTTGCGCACCACCCACTTCGGCACACACACGGAGGTGGCAACACCTGGAGCCCAACGCGTGGCAGACCAACGTCAGACGTGGCTGGGTTGACCATCGTTCGATGGCTGGCGCGAAAAACCAACAGCTTCAAACGTCAGCTTCAAGTGGGAGACCTTGTGGATGCTAGTGGACGATGGTTCAAAGTTCAGCCTAGTCCCAACAACTGATACAGCTGCATCATGGATCCTCAAGAGGCCCCTTAGCTATCCATCATAAAAAATGGACATCTCAGTGGGCCAGGGATCGGGGTCTTTGACGAGTGTTGTCTGCAAAACGGTCGTGTCAAAGTCGATCAGACGCGCAACAGATCTCATGGACTTGGACCGGACTATGACTGGAACCTCTCCAACTTGGCGGATGTACCGGGACCTTACTACAGTGACCCTCCTTGAGATGGAATGAGGTCACTTAGTCCCTCAAGAGTATATCCCATTACCAGTAATAATGGATGATAATGGTTCAGTTGTAGGCCTTTCTCTAGCTTAGTGATCATATGCGATCATTGTCGACTGACTGTTACTGGGACAAACATGGACAAACCCTATAGCTATGTCTTATACTGTCTTATTATATCATATTATACCTGGTGTCCAATGCAGCTCTTTCTTCCAGGCCACGGTCCGCTGGATCCATCGCAAGGGTCCGCACTTTGGCATGCTCCACCAACGCAGGTGCTGTGGAGCCACCATGGAGACGTCGATAGGCAGTCCTGTTGAAGTGGGGAGTGGTTGGCATGGATGGGGTGGGGTGGAAATCATGAAAACATGGATCGTCACTCATTCGGGGATGAGTACGGAAAGAGATGGAAAAAGGAAGCGTTCAAACACACCATATCAAATGACTGGCACCCAATAAGGATTCTTCACTGGGTCCTTTGATTCCAAGCAACTCCTTTGGGAAACGCCTCAACCTTTTCGTCTGAAAGACTGTGAGGAACAACCCGCAGTCGAACTCATGGAATTTCTTTCAGGAACACCAGGCGCAAGGCACGACTCATTTGGGGCTGAAACCACCCCCCCAAATTGGCCGGGACTGACTCTGTGCAAAATTGCGAAAGACTCAGAAGCCCCAGTGTTAAAGCTGGGGGCACAGTCCAAGTGCCATGGGAAGAAGGCCACATGGATCCCCAATCTCATGACATGACTTGTTTGGTAAACCTGGAGTTGGTACGGGATAAAACACAGCACTCACACCCTATGGATCCAAAATGATCCAAATACCGACCCTGAGGTTACGGTGATTGGAGACTCTTGATGTAGGCGCCATTGTCGGGTCCAATTACCTGCTGAGGTACGGTGGCAGTGGATCCATACCCAAACACTCCATGGGCTCCATACCCAGTTGACCCCCAAAACCACCCCTGGCCTGATCGGCATCTATGGCAGTCCCACAGGTCGTGTCTGGGATAATTAGGGGCACACAATCTCAGAACTCGGTCTTTCATCTCAGCCAGCATTGATCCTCCGTTCTCCCTCACTGTCGTCGGGAATTGGTGACGAACCGTCTCGAGTCGCTTGCTGCTTGGTGAGGCGTTGCATTCTGCTTGGCCAAAGGTAGGATGGGACGCCTGCTGTTGATGGAACACACTGCAGACTCTGGAACCCAACCACAATAGAATATTCCCAACAAAGTCTTCCCATAGTGTTCCCTGCTCTCGCTGGTGCAAAATTTGTCCACCTCATGGCATCATCCCTCAGCTGCTGTCCTCTGCAGAGCGAGCGCTTCCAACAGCAGCTTCCGAATTCCTGCCGGTGGTGGATAACCATTCAAGCGGGCCCTCAAGGCGTCTTTTGTTCTTGCAAAAACTAGTACTCTTTCGCCAATTGAGCTCTCGAGTTTCATTCTGGACCTCCAAAACGACAAACGTCGGAATTGAATACAGGATACTGAGCCACTTCCCAAACAGTGCGTGTTAAATTTTAGCTGATATGTTCAAAAATGTTCAATTTGACATCCCCGCTCCAGTCACTCTGTCATGACCACTCTCCATCCCTCCCAACCCATCGATCCTTGCCATTGCTGCGTTTGCACGACACACTGGTAGGGCACCAATGCTCGTCCCTCATAAGTCTGATAGATCCTTGGGATTGCTTAGGGAACTGGAGGGGCAAAAAGCACAGTGCTGGATTCCCCCATCATGAAACGAACAATCACCCCCTATAGGTCCCATGTGGCCCCCTATAGGTTCCATGAAACCATGTCCAAAACCTGTTGCATCGAAAGGGTCTAAAGTCTGCCAAACCAAGGATCTGAATCTGCATACCCAGCCGCCGTAGAAGGCATCGCAAATATGCAGCAAGACGAAACCTGCTCAGCGGCTGAGAAATTAGCCGAGCGAAAAATCAATGTCTTGGAACACTCCCCTAGGGGGCCCCCGAATCAGCGCCCACCCACATAAATATACATATATATATATATTATATCCTTAAGGATGATGTTCCTTAGGGTTTCTGGCCCACCTCCTGAGATGGTTCGGGGGGGTGCCAGGGCCAGGGGGGTCTAACCACCTGAGGAGATGGGCCAGGAGCCCTAGGTCGTATGATACCTTAAGGATCCACACCCTCTGAGAAGGTGATTGGACTCTCCAAGCCACGCAAAAGAGTGTCCAATCACCTTCTGAAAGGGTACGTGGATCCCTATGGGATGTTTATTTAAGGTTACAGTAAACCGTTAAACCATTCCCACCTCAAACCATTAACTGA